TTATTTGGTTTAACTTTATTACTTACTTATAATAGGTTTACTTTACAACTTTATACACTAAGACAAAGTTAACAATAATCCTCATACCGGGTACCGCATTGTTTTCTTGATTTTCAGAATTCATAACTTTTTTTTTGTCACCCCTCCATTACCCCCCAGAAATGGTTAAATTACCCCCAGGGGGTAATTTACCCCCAGTTTGGGAACCACTGCGTCTAAGGGTTTCGAGTTAAATCTTAGATTTTGCCACCGAAGAGGCTAGTTTGTGCACCCCCATATCCATCCTGTGGACGGTAGTGCAAGAGTGTATGGATACACAAAAGGCCTAGGAACTAGACCCCGAAAGAGTTAACAGGTGTACATATGGGTTTATATCTACATGCATATCTACAGTTCATTTGTTAAAAGCAAATTTAGGAAATTTGCTTAGTATATCTGGTATCTTATTTTCAGTAACAGGATCTTGACATTTCACATAGGTTATTATACTGCCTCTATATTCCTCAATAAGGGGACAATTAGTCATTGTTAAATACTGACCATATGCCTGATCACAATTTGCATTTAGTTTGATCATGTGTCTCCCAAACTGCCAGAAGTACTTGTAACCAAGCCTAAGCCTGGTCACTACAACATCAATCAGTCTGTTCACATTGCAAGTTGCTCCATAAACATACTTATCTATGTACATGTTATAGTGGATTATAGGTCTACTCAGGCTTCTAACTGCATTCCTATAACAATTTTCATTATTTACTTCTCTCCTAATGTTGTTCCTAATGCTAGACAGCGCTCCCCATGAATATAAAATTTAATTTTTAAGAATTTAATCTTGTTTGCCGTATTTTGGGCACGTTGATATGTTAAGAGGGTCTAGGTAATCACTGGTTGTGAAGTTTTAATAAAGGGGGTAGAATTTTATTCTGATTTTTAACCCTGAGGTTTAAGCATCAAGGATGTGTTGTGAAAAATTACCACCAAATCACCTGCAGGAGGTTTACAGGGTGTTGCCTGAATTATTGTCTGAAAGTAATTTGGTTAAGGCACGTGGGATTTGTCACAGTAGGTCACTAAACTGTTACTCCTTCGACTCTCCACTTCACCACTTTCACAGAAAACTAGACCTGACATAAATTTAATGATTATAAAATTAAAACTTGCTACTCTGGTACACTGAAGTTTAGTGGACTACATGTATAGGATTAGGTCGGCTGGGAACACTAAATACAATTTTTATTAACACGTCGGCAGTTTCCCACCAAGGCAGGGTGGCTCAAAAAAGAAACGTCCATCGTTCACTCCATCACTGTTTTGCCATTCATAACATTAGCAGTCATTTCTTATCTGCACGCATTAAAACATCCCAATCTTTTTCTTTTCCTTGTTTTTAGTAGTTTATACAGAAGGGGTTGTGGAAAATTGCATTTATCTGAATGTATCATTATATACATAACAGTAAATGAACATAGATAATTATTTATCAGTTAGACAAGTAGGAATTTGGGACACCTAGGTCGCAAAAAATGTCCCCCTTTGATACCTACCCCTGTCATATCCACAAGTTGCTCTGGACCTATTAATTAAATGAAATGTACATCACCAGGAATGCTGGTAAATATATAAATTTGTGGACTGTATATTAAAATGAAAAAAGGATTATAGTATATACGCACATTTATATAACAGAAGGAGAATATATCTTAATCATAACACTCGCCAATTTGACTGGAGATTAAGTTGTATGGTACTCGGGAAAACCTCACTGTCTATACATGAAAATAACTGGCCAGAGTTATAACAAGACTTATCTGAGGTTCCTGGAGCTGTCTTGTTCAGTCGCCTGATATCTCAAGTTATGCAGGACTGCACATCCAACAATTTTGCCTGCTATTTGAGAGATGTCAACCCAATTTTAACCTCTAGAGCACGAAAAATTCTTCCCATTACACTAACGTTTACTTGGCTCATTCAAACCAAAATGGCGACTGTCCTGCCTAGCCGCAGATTTCCCATTTTTGATAACATACTACTATTAAAAATACAATATAGGGCATCTATTTACCTATAAATTACCGTACTTCCGAAAAATATATACAGTATTTTCCACAGGGGTTACTAACCCATTGTTCCCGGCATTCTCCTACATAAATTATTGTTTAAAAAAAAAAAAAAAAAAAAAAAAAAAAACTACCGCTTACCATTTAATTACTGGAAAACTTAATGCTTATGAAACTCCCTAACCTTTGGCAGCTAGAATTTACGATGGCCAATACAAAAACTACTGTACATTATGGGTAGGCACTTCGGTGTATTGTTGGGAAGGATTCATTGAAGTCCTCTATTTTTCCGTCCTCGCCACACAATTCTTGAGGTTCCATAAATTTCCCGTTTCAGTTCTTCAGCAGGAACATAGTCAGCAATTTCTAAATTAAGAATTAATGCCGATACACCCCATTAGGCCTTGGAGAACGCCAGTTTATTAAAAAGTTCCCACGACAACAGGCGTTCACAAGTTCAATGGTCCAAGTCGGACCGAAACGTCGTCGTAAGCTTCTCTTTTATGTGCGGGTTATTTGTGTATCGTTCCAGTCACGGTATTGTGCCTTTTTTTGTTATTCAAAATGGCGTCTCCCCAGCGTCCCGACTGGCTATTCTCCACCCACCCTCTCGAAATTTCTCAGTCCAAACAGCATCATATTTTATAATTTGTATTATTCACATGTTCTATATTTAGGAAATTGTAAAAAAAAAAAAATCCACAATTGTCATAGGACTGAAACGGGGTCCTTTGATCTTGTCCCCCAGGATGCGACCTACACCAGTCTACTAACACCTAGGTACCGACTTACTGCTAGGTGAACAAAGGCAACAAGTGTAAGAAAACTTGCCCAACGTTTCCACTCGTGCTGGAGATTTAACCACGTACTCTCTGCATGCAACCTGAATGAGTTTTCAATTGCCACAAGACACTATCGTGCAGCTAATAAATATTTCAGAACTCTACATGTAAACAGTAGCCTCGAGCCCTAGTTTGAGGGTCATAGGTTTTGCCCAGTTCTTCACAACGTAAATGTAAGCTTGTTTGTAGTTTTTTTTCTGTACTTTATATATAGTGAATGGAGGTTAATGTTGTGCCCTCTTGTCTTTTATAAAAACTTAAACCACGCCCCTAACTGGCTACACCCATCCGCTCACGCGTGCACTACTGCCCCCCCCCCCCAAAAAAAAAAAAAAAATAAAAATCTCTCGCTGAGGTATCTAAATGTTTGTAGGGATTTAAGACTGAACCAGGTATTCACTTAAGATTTTTAAGGAAAGTTTTGAGTGATAGACATTATGCTGACGGTCCTTTTGTTAAAGGAATTTGAGCTCTTGTACCGGGTTGAACCCGCTTGCTTCTAGTTCCCTTGGCACTAGATAAATCCAGCTAGTTTGTTCCCATGATTTTGCATAGTAAATTCTAGTCTTTATTTTTCTTGTAACTTTTAATTTAAAGCTTCCAGTAACTGGTTTAAAAATAAACTTCATTGTACATGCTGTCCAATTCTAACTGGACCTGCCTTTTCTTCCAGGACGTTGTACGACGATGACTTCGGGTTTAGAGCTCTTGAATGTAGTAGCGGTTACACATTAAATGCAAAGATCATGAAAGTATATTAAATGTAATGCATCAAGGCTCTTGTTATAAAGATCAACATATGTAGGCTGGTCCTTGTATGTTAGTCAGCCTGCTAGTCTTCACTCAATTTATTTACTTTAGAGATGTATTACCCCATGTCGGTTTTGCTAATTTTAATGCTATTCAGACATTTTAGGTTCTCGTTTTAATGTATACGTGTATGGTTTTTGCCTTGACTCGCAATTTCAACCCATGGAGCGCTACTCTACAGGCCTGTCTGTCTGCCAAGGAAAATGGAGTTGAATTAGAGCAGATTATTATAATGAAGGGGGAAGCGCTAAACCCGTAGGATTATACAGCGCCTAGGGGGATGTGGAAGGCATTCAGGCTTAATTCGGGGAACTGGAGCACAGATCCAATTCCCTAAATCAAGAGCTCCTCACCAACATCAAGGAACCTTCCGTGAGGGGAAATTAGAGCAGAGATGGGTACAATAGTTTAAACAGTGTCCCCTTGTGGACTTCATAATAGAACTGAAATATAAATACGGTAATTAAGACTATAGCCTTTCAGTCAAACTTAAGAGTAGGCTTAAAAGTATACCAAATTAGTTTAGACCAGTTGCATAATACCTGGTCTTAAATACTCTTTTACATTACTTAGGTAATAAAGTACTAGAATACTTGTAATATGAAGGGTAATTAACGGTAATTAATTTTGGGTCTAATTATAGTGGTTGAGTAATAATGCATGACAATTTACAAACATTCGCGTCATATTTGGGTGTTTAATATTGACGAGGTAAAACTGTTCCTTTTTTTTTTTTTTTTTTTTTTTCTGTACAGGGGGATTCTGCTTGGGTTGAGCAGGATAGGTGCAAAAAGAATACTTGTAATTTTTTCTCTTGCTACTCTCCTTGTTCAGGTCTAGGTTTAATATTTGTACAAAATGCCCTACACAGTGTGCATGGAAGGTATAGATATTTTTAATCAAAAGGAAGCGCTAAACCTACCAGGGTTATACATATTTTTAAACCTTTGACTAGGAGGGAAGGCGGGCTGAATGTTGTCTTCACACTAATTCTAGCAGACTTTTCAGTAACTACAGCTTTTAGATTGAATCCAAATGATCAGGATAGCTTAAACAATTTGGTACATACTAGCATATTCAGTGTAGTGATTCACGTGTAATAACTATTTAAAAGATAACCCTTAAGCAAGAACACTTGAAATATGTTGGGTCAAACATTAAACTAACCTAATGTTCAAATACCCACAGCAGATTTTTCTGGACTTTTATTGATCACCTTCATAATATCTTTCGAACTATCCGACTCTAAACATGACTGCTGATATTTATGTACAAATTTCATTAATTACAGCTGACGACTGGCCCTCATATGGTACTGATGAAAACAAGGAGTACCGCTACAGGAACATCTCTGGAAAGACACTACACTTCCAGGCAAGTAGTTTTATTTTAAATAGTGCCGTGGCATACATGGTTAATGTACCTCTTAAATGTAACTTTGACTCTTAATTGCAACTTTTGTAGCTATTGGTCATTTTTTTTTACAAATTGTTGAAGCTCTATCATTTATTACAGGTGAAGGCCGCCCATGATGCCCACATTGCTTTCACCTCTGCCAGCGAGGAGACTGACCCCATGCTGGAAGTGTTCATTGGTGGCTGGGAAGGTGCAGCTTCTGCCATCAGATTCAAGAAAAGTGAGCCTTTTTTTTTTTTTCTCTCCAAAAATATGTAAACTTTGACAGATTCTTAATGAAACTCTTGTACTATTATCCTTTGTTTCACTTTGCAGTTGAAAACTTTCCCTTTATACTAGTCGGCTAAGCTTGGAAAAAAAAATTGAGCCATACATTAAAATATTAATGTACCTTAACACTTTCATTAATATTCCATGCAACCTAGTGGATAGCTGTAAGTATGAAACAAAATTCCATTTACCTTAATGCATAAGCAGCTAAAAAAAAAAAAAAAAAAAAAAAAAAAAAATTACACGTATATTAAGACTAGCCAATGTCAGGCAGGTTTGGGTAATAACTGCCAACTGCTAGATAGAATTTTGCACACTTCATCATGTGAAACTTTTGTACAACAAGAAAGACTCGTAGGCAAATTATTCGGCGATGAAAAAATATAAATTGTCGCGCCATCTGCGAGTTACTCAGCCTGACTGTAAATACAGGTGGCGTTCTCGGTTAGTGACCTGACAAAACTTTCCTGTCCTCACCTGAACCTAACCTGACTTGTTATTCAAATATAAATGTACAAGAAAAGCTTATTTAATGTGCCGTATATGGTTGTATTGAAAAGGTGACACGAGATTTCGGTAATAACTGCCGGTGATCGTTGATGGCATAAAGGAGACTAATATTAACGTAACTTTCATAATTTGTTTATTGAACTGGGCCAACCAACGCTAGTCGGTCAAATGGTTTGTAATTAGGGTGGAAGTGGTATGGTGATGCCAAAAAGTTGTAGGCGCACATGTATGCCATGATAGGCGAATAAGGAAAGTTCGCCATAAATGGCTTCAGTCCTAAGACAGTATACAAGATAATGGTGGGAGTCTGGTGGAAAGCTGAGAGGATGGTTGTGGTATAGTTGAAAGAGGTTTGAGAAGGAATATGGTCACTAATTAATGGCAGAGTCTGGCAGAAACAAAGGTTATCATGGAAGTTCCGATGGTGACTGTTGGGAAGAGCAATATTAAGAAAGCTAAAATAATGCAGAAGGAATGCATTAACAGGACTCGTATTATTAACGCTGACATAATAAAATTAGTCATTGTAGTGCTTTTTTTTTCTTAATCGAAGACGGATACAGCACTACACTATTTACTTTAGATTACAAAAATGCCTTGACAGTGTTAGTCAAATGCTTTAAAACTTCTCATATTACATGCCAAAGCTCTCGGCTTTGTAAAACAAACGCCAATTACCATATTTACAAAGGTTACTTGCTAAATCAGTTTTAGGCCTTCACCCCCCCCTCCCTCTCCAACCCCTCAAATTGGGTCACCTTAACTGTTGTTTCTTAGAGGTATCCATGGCAGGAGCCACTCCACAGGACACAACACTTTTGAATAGTTCTTCTTACATATGCTAACACTTTAATTACACAATTGTGGATAAGACTGCATAGTGTGAAAAATATTTGAATCGATAGTTAATGTGAACTGGTAGACAGTTTAAGCTCTAGAAAATATTTTTGTTTTATTTAATAAGTTCTTTTAAGGCACAGTATTTTGAAGTTTCAATAACCTTTGCAGTCTCTGGTATAATCCTGATTCTTAATTCAAATTTACCTTGGTAAAGAAAGTTAAATATAACTTCCAAAGTGGAATCTTTGACTCGGACGGATGAAAATTAACTTAAATTCTTGTAGGCATAAAAGTTGCACGAAATACTAAATTTTGATGACCCTCACAGCTGACGACTTGGTGAAGGTGGACACACCAGACATCTTGAGCGAGGAGGAATTCAGAGAATTCTGGATTGCTTTTGACCACGATGAGGTTCGTGTTGGCAAGGGTGGTGAGTGGGAGCCATTCATGCAGGCCCCTATTCCTGAGCCTTTCCCAATCACTCATTATGGCTACTCCACTGGCTGGGGTGCTATTGGCTGGTGGCAGTTCCATGGTAAGGGTCCACTTTATTTCTTAATGTATAACTTTCTCCTACAGATAGCAGTGTATTGCATGTCAGCTCATAACATCTTGGTTCTAAAGTTACTGAGTTTCATTCACTATATTGTACATTAACAGAAGTATGCAGGAAAGTTTATACTAGTTGCATAAAATTTATTTTTGAAATTGCCCACAGGTGAAAGAAAATTTGCCACCGAAGATTGCCTTACCTACAACTATATACCAGTATATGGCGACACGTTTGAATTTAGTGTTTCCTGTAGCAACGATGCCCATTTAGCATTAACATCTGGACCAGAAGATACTACACCCATGTACGAAGTATTCATTGGTGGCTGGGAGAACCAGCACTCTGCCATCCGCCTCAATAAGGGTAAATTTTGAGAATTCTTGTTTGTAAAGCTACTGAAGTGCATTTCTCTTAACATCCCTGCTAAAATAACTAGGGTAGTATGTATAGTAGCTAAATAATTTAAGTAGGGGAAACTTGCTCTCTTGAATGCATACTACAGAAGAACGAGGGTTGGGTACACTATAGGTACCAAGTTTTAAGTGGATGTTATCTCGTACTAATGTTATATATATAGATGGTTAAAATACCTTCAGCTATCGACTTTCACCCAATAACTTCCTATTGTCTTGGTTCGAAAATTGCCTCGCTATTTTCTTGGTTTGCCCATTTGTTCACATAACTGTAATATTGTTTGGTTCAGCAAGGTTTTTTTTTTTTTTTTCTCCATAAATTTTACCCAGCGAGTGATTGAATTTTAAAAGATGTTTATTTGAAGACTGGCTAATGTAATTTTCTTGGGTAGATTTCTAGTATACTTAGTATTTGCGGGTAAAGAAAAGTATGAACGTGAATTTGGGACAGCTACTACTTGTAACTTCACTGAAGTTTTGAATAAAAGATTGAACTTTTAAAGTATCTCGTTAACTGGTGTAATCTTTTCCCATAGGAGAAGACATGATTAAAGCAGATACCCCTGACGTAGTATGTGCTGAAGAAGCCCGGAAGTTCTGGGTGTCCTTCAAGAATGGTCGTATCAGGGTTGGCTACAAGGACACGGATCCCTTCATGGAGTGGACAGATCCAGAACCTTGGAAGGTAATACCTCCTTGACTAAAGAATTTCATTAGAATTTATCCTTAATTCCTATTTTTATGCTGGCTTGGTCGAGAAAACTTCATATTTGGCTGATGGAACTGAAAATGACTTTGCTTAAATAATTTTTTAACCTGTTTGTAATTGAATTTGAAAGTTGATTTCACTTGGGAATTTATACTTTTAAAAAGTTTTTTAAAGTATAAATTTCTAATACATTTAGCAAGGTTTAGTTTACCGGAATGTAATCTTTAGTCATTGGATACCCATGTTAGCAAGAATTTTGCTAGTGAACTAGAGATTCAACTAAAATTCGGTACCAGGGCCATAGTACCAGACTACCAGCATGATGGGTCTTGTCAACCTTCTCTCCCCTTTCCCAGTATCTTAAAAACATCCCTTAAAAAAAAATCTTAACTAGACAGTGGTTAAAATGCAGTAAAATTTATTTATGAAAAGTTTTATTTTCATGAATGCTGAAGATACACTATCTGTACACTGTAAATATAAATGCAAAGTAAAATCAGAGCAAAAATGTTAACATGTAAAGGAATACTGCAGCAGGCTACTGGCCCATGCGAGGCAGGTCCAATTCTCCCACCGGCTTAAGCCAATGCCTTAGCCTAGTCAGGTCAGTTACATTCACTTAGAGAAGCACGGCATCTGACCTAGTAGCACAAGCTCGTCAGGTCCAACTCCCACCTACACCCACTCGTGTATTTATCCAACCTATTTTTAAAACTACACAACGTTTTAGCTTCTATGACGGTACTCGGGAGTTTGTTCCACTCGTCCAAAACTCCATTACCAAACCAGCACTTTCCTGTATCCTTCCTAAATCTGAATTTTTCAAACTAACACTATTGCTGAGAGTCCTATCTATGCTAGATATTTTTAGGACACTATTTACATCCCCTTTATTAATTCCTGTTTTCCATTTATACACCTCGATCATATCCCCCCTAATTCTACGCCTCTTCGAGAGTGCAGATTCAGGGCCCTCAGCCTATCCTCATAGGGAAGATTTCTGATGCATGGGATCAACTTTGTCATCCTCATTTGTACGTTTTCCATCGCATTTATATCCATTCTGTAATATGGTGACCAAAACTGTGCAGCATAATCTAAACTAGGCCTAACCAAAGATATATAGTTGAACAACCTGAAGTCCTTATCAAAACCACCCCTAGTCTTTTCCAATAATGGCATTAAAATCACTTCCTAGTAGTGTCTCTAATCGGTTTCCAAAACTCTTGGTCACTCTTGAATGGCTGCCTAAAAATATTCTTGCTACTGTTTGGAAATTTATGCCTGGGAACCAAAGTACAAAATTAAATGACTAAATATTGCAAACAAACCATACCACGGGTGGGGATAGAACCCACGATCTATGATCGCGGGTTCTATCCCCATGCCAGAGACTTGTAAACTTTTAAATAAAAGCACTAAAATAGTTCTACAGCTATAGATGCCTAATACTGAAAATGGTTATAGATAACTTCATAAACTGCCTTTTTCTGATTCTCTGAAACATTTTTTGGAATACTTTAGCTTGTTTACACATTGATTTAATGTTCTGCAACATACTGCACTTGCCTGACAATGTAATATTTTACAGGATATTGTATTGGTGTCTGAATTTTTTGCTTTAAATTTAAAATTTAACTTTTTTTTTTTCAGGTGACTCACATTGGCTACTGCACAGGCTGGGGTGCCACAGGAAAGTGGCAGTTTGAATACTAGGTCCATAGTGGAAATTAAACTTCCTCCACATCTGTCGCGTTAGCTTAATAAAAGAATAAATGGCAATTTTCTGCTTGTGATGGTTTACCTAACAAATATTAAAATCATTAATTTAGCAATGCATTACTTGTGGGTATTGTATACCATTTTCGTAATAAAGTAAAAAAAAAAATGCAGGTGTCTATAACCTTTAGTTCGGTTTGGAAAGTGCTGTATATTTGGATATTTTATTTACGACTGGTATCTAAAATGCCAAACAGAAGGAAATTTCATAATTACCATTTAATATACCCTCCAGATTTCATTAAGTTAAGCTTAGAAGTTACTAGTGACGGGGAAAACACATTTACTTCTACTGATACTTTAGCTTGATGCCTGTATAAAAACTAGCAGATTTCCACGAAACTTTGGCACATTTCTAAAAGTTACAGAAGCTCGCTTTTGGGGAAAAGTGCATAATATAGACTTCTACTAAAAGTAGAAGCAAAATGTTTAAATAGTCACTTCATCCCTGTTCCACAGGTTTTGACCCTATATAGGTTCCTTGATGCCTCCCTCTTAATCAGAGGAATAGGAGCTACCCTTTCCTTGGTACTTGTGTGCTGTATGATCTAGACTGCTTTGGCACATCCTAACATTTCTATGATGAATTAGTTTATGCAGTTTTGCCCATCTTTGTGATTGTTGCAATGATTGATAGATGGTTCAATGCTTTTTGAAAGCCTAAAATTTTACTGCCTCCACGGTCTGCCACATTGTATGGACCCTGATTTTTAGTTGTCATGGCCTACACCTGCTAAAAGATTAAAGATTTCTGTAATAATTCTTGTGATCGGTTGAATTTTTTAGTACTATTGCTCACTGGAAGTGTTGCATAACTGGCCTATCACAATGTGATAGGCCAGTTATGCAACACCAGATTAAAAATCTTCATTTAATGTAATTATTTCTAAGAGTAAAGATGCATAAATTAGACCTAGCAGAAAGTGGCATCATACATACAGCCCAGGGTTATGCAGAGCTTTTTGGGAAACTTTGGTTAATCTTTATCCCCCAGGGTGCAACCCACCACAGTCGTCTAACACCCAGGTACCTACTTGTTGCTTTTTGAACAGGGGCAACAGCTGCCCAGTTTCGCCCAAGCCATGGATAGATTCTAGACCCCTCGATTTGAGAGCAGAGGACGCTACTAAGGAAAGCTATCCTCCACCCGAATATATCTATAAAGGGTTTATCTTATTCCTCGGGAGTAAAATTTTGGCGTAAAGAAGAGACTAGCTAACATTCCTGTATGTACTATTCGGGAACGGATAAAATTTCAGGTCTACATAAAGGCTTTGTATTTATTGCACCACGATGGCAGGCCCAAGAGGTATGATAAAGGATTTTACATCTCATACCGTAAAGTACCAAGTCCCGCACAGCTCCAGTTCACGTCCCACTTTTATCAATGCACTCAGGAAGGCACTTCTGGTTATTAACTAAAGTAGGCAGGAATGATCTTCTGATAATTTTCTGCTAGTCGGGTAGCTACCAACGTCAACGTTTGCCAAGAGCGACTTTAAGAAAGCAAAAAGGCATTCACCATAATAAAACTAAGAACTGTTAGACCAACCAATTGTAAATTAGGTGTACGTGATGTCTTGCAGAGGTTGCCAGAACTTGAGAAACATCTACAGGCTTTGAAAAGTGTAAGAGCACCGGATCGCATAGAGCAGAAGTGGCTCGTACAATACCAGTCATTTGCAATACTCGACCAACTCGTGACCTTTAAAGGCCAAACTCGTTAAGGAACTGTCTGGAAAGTGATTTTGATTGAAACTACCAACCCTGTTGGCCAATTTTATTAATCCTTAGTCGGATGAATTCGTCATAAACGGGGATTATCACCTAGACCCCATGCCTCTTGGTCCCCCACTCCCCTGCCTCTGCAATACTGGTCTCTTAATGCTTCACCTTTACCACTCTAGAACTGAAACCATTCATGGTGACTATTTTCATTAATCATCCTAATACTGGATCTAGTGTTTCACATTTGTTGGTATTGTTTTATCTTGTTTTTTTTTTTTTTTTCCACCAAGCTGTGCTGTTTCCCCTCAGTCTGTTCCCTCTGCCAGTGAGGTGGATTTTGATCTGGAACTGGATCTGTCCTCCCCTTGGCTGGGACAGTCGAACCTGAATGCCTCCCATTTCCAAGTGTTATATGACCTCAGTGGGTTTAGTGCTTTCCCCCTCATTAAAAAATACCTGATTATGATTCTTCAGTTGCTTTGAAGCCCGCGAAGGACTAAAAATTAGAGCTACTCTTCATTTCCAGAGACTTCTCTTTAACAAAATATATTTCGCCAACTTTGATGTAGATTCTTACTCTTACACACTGCCCTAGGCCCCACTAACCCGTCTTTGTACACTCCTGCTCTTTACTTCCCATGCTGCACATCCCTCCTCTACCTTGGTGGGAGACAGCCTGTGTTGAAAGCTATGGAGAAGCATTAAACCCAAAAGGGTTACACAGCATCTGAGGATGAGCGCAGTGTGACTACGTTCTTCTCAGAGCGCTTGAATACCTACAGCATGTGCTGAACTTGCACATTAAACTGATGAAGCCACTGACTGGCGAAATGTTTCCAGAATAGAAATACTTGGGAATCATCATGTGAGCAAATCACCTGCATGAGATTTACAGGACATTACCTGAATTATTACCTGCAAGTAATTTGGGTGAGGTAAAGAGACTGTCACAGTAGGTCGCCAAACTGTCACTCTTTCGAGCCCTTGTGGTTTAGCGCTTTGATTATATTAATAATAGTCACTCCTTCGAAGCCCACTCCCTACCACTCTCAAAAAGCTAAACCTGACATTAAATAATTATAATATTAAAACCAGCTACTCTGGTAATTAAAGCTGTGGACTGTATAGGATTAGGCTTGCTGGGTACACAAAATATAATTGGCATTAACACTTACCATTTAATTACTGTAGATGGATCACACAACACGCTGGCCAGCTAGAGATCTAAATGCAAGGACTAATGGTACACTTCCCTGTGAGTGATGGTTATCCCTTTTCTTCCACCATCTACACAATTCTTGAGGTACCACAAATTTCCTGTCCCAATTCTTCTGCATGGGACATTAACACAGGTTCCAATTACAAATTCAGGCCAAAAAACTCCAATTTGGCTTGGAAGATGCCGAATTAGTTGAATTTCCTACGGCAGCCAATGTTCACAAATTACAAATGTTTCTCCTGGCATCCCTCCAATGTTCTTCTACACCCGTCACTCGAAATTTCTCGAAGGGTCCAAACAGCATTACATTTTAATACGCAATTATGTTATTCATTTATATGTTCTACTTTAGAAAAAATAGTAAAAATTTTCCACTTGTGTTGCTCAAATGTCTTTTTGATAAACATTGTCATTTATGCCGAGATGAGATTTCCAAAATGACTGGAGTTTCTAACACATTCGCATATAACAATTTTTATTCAGATGGGACCCACAACATTTAGATAACGTTCAGCTACCTAATCTTACCGCTAGGTGGAAAGAATAAAAAAAAAGTACCCCCCAACCAGGGTTCTTTGAACCCTAGTTGGGAGGGTTGAAGGACCAGGGTTCAAAGAACCCTGGTCCTTCACATTGCGAGCCTAACTAAAGTAAGTCTATTTAAGTACAGGTACACACAAATAGTTACACAAACTATCAGACTTAGTATTATGTGTGTACATTACCAAAAATAACTTAATAAAAAGTAACTTATTTCCACATTGACTTTTTTTTTGGGTTATCCTAGGTATCTATAAGTTTATTTAGATACAGGAACATATAGTTACACAAATTTACGTGACTTCAATTATCATACATCATAACGTGTAAATAACCCCTCCCCCCCCCCCCAAAAAAAAAAAGTCAGACGAAGTGACTTAATTTCCATTGGGGTCCTTATAATATTTTATTTAAAGCCTAGCTCTAAGATATTAGCTCAGCCAGGCCTCGGAAAATAATATGAAGGTCAATGAAGACAAATTTCAATTACTGCCCTATAGAAAACTCGAGAGAATAAAAACAATCAGAATGTAAAACGAATTCCAGCCACATTAGAGCGACAAAATTAATGTGAAGGTCTTGGGAGTGATTATATCAGAGAATCTCACTTTCAAAGATCACAACAACGTCTCTACTGCATTGTTAAGAAAATGATAGGATGGATAATGAGAACATTCAAAACTAGGGATGCCAGGCCAATGATTCTTTTTAAATCGCTTGTTCTCTCTAGGCTGGAATATTGCTGTACACCAAAAGACAGTACCTGATCAGCCGGGCTGTGGTTCGTACGTCGGTTTATGTGCGACCAACAGAAAAAGCCTGGTTGATCTGGCCCTGATCTACCATGAGGTCTGGTCACAGACCAGGCCGCAGGGGCGCTGGCCCCCGAAACCCTCTCCAGGTATTCACTAATGGCCCCTTTGAAGGCAGGCGAAATTGCAAACCTGGAAATCATTTCGTCTCTCGACCTCCGGGGAGAGAGGACGCACGCCTAGTAGCTACACCTGCCCTCTGGTGGTGAAGTTTTAGCAACTGGAAGGCAAAATGGCGTATCGAGTGGGTCAGCGGATCAACACTGTTTGTATACAGCTGGTACGTGGCACGCTCACTGGTGAAACGATGAATACATTGCTACCCGCTATCATCAGAGACGTCTATGGTGTCCCCAACGAGGAAGTATATGGTGTAGCCTTAAATGGGATGACCAGAGTATTCCTGAAACTGAATCGTACCGGCGTCTACGACAAACTTGTTGACGAGTACCAGGAGAGGAAGGTGACTGTGAATTCGGCAGTGGACGTCGTCTTGCACGACGTATCTAGGTACTATACGTGGGTGAAGGTGAGAAACGTCCCTTTCGAGGCGACTGCATATAGTATACAGGAGGTCTTCAACAGTTATGGTAAAGTTCATTCAGCTACGATGGGAGTATGGAAAGATGGGCCATATGAGGGACGACCTGAGGGTTCTTATACCCTCAAAATGACGTTGGCTAGGCCTATACCATCCTACGTCA